ATCTAATCACATTAATGGAGTGGCCAGCTGTTTAATAAAGGCACTTCTAAATTGAGTTTTTATTTGGGTGTATTGATATCAATGGTATCCTTGTGAATGGGGGTCACTGTATTGAAGGTGTCCCAAAAATTAATTTTGGACCACTTCTGGGCATTGCTACAACACATGTTAGCAGCCCTACATCCCTACTACAACTCTTTGTAGGATGACTGAAGACTGGGGATTTGAGTAGCACAAATGGAGCTAGCCCTACTTCTCCTTAAAATCAACTGTCTATGACACTTCCTAGATACAAAATACAGTGGAACATAAAATAATTATAACTGTTGTTACCTTGACTGTCTGGTGGAGGTTGACAGTGATCACCTTTTTCATGCAATCTTTGATCATCTGCAAAAAAAATATTAGATAAGTTCACTTGTAAATCAACAATACAGCATATTGATAAGAGTGAATTAAGATCCATATCATCAATGCATTAATGTTGAAGTCTTGAGTATGGCAAGGAAATTCAGATCTTATTATTTATTGCAGGGGACTGGCATATGCAAGCAGTTGGAAAATGATCCACATCCAGCACAGAAAACTAAAGCAAAAACTCTAGTCAATCCATGTTTTCTCCAGTGGGCTACAACACACTATACAGTATATATACATGTCATGCACAGAATATGCATAATTCCATTATTATCATAAAGAACATGTTGAGCCACGAAAATTACTGCCAACTTGCTAACTAAAACAGAAGCAGGAGAAACAGATTGTGCTACATCACACAGATGGTAACTTGAGGAAATACTTATAACTGCATGTAGAAACCAACCCTTGCCTAGTCGCAGTCTAGCACAGATATGCTTAAATGGTTTTACCTTTGCGTGGCTTATGCAATTGTCAAAGGTTTCGCTCACATTAACAAGTAACTTTGAGTTCATTCATGCTGTTTCGCCATATTCCCAAATTGTCAGGTAAATGCTGACTTTCAGTGTTTGTGTTGTATTTCCTATGTTATTTTAAATGTTGTAATTAGTTGTTCCACTCTTAATGTACATATCATGTTTGAACCATTTATTTTAGAAACCACTGGGAATGTCATGAAAAGTTAAGAGTTTGAGGCATCCAGAAATAAACTCCTTTATGTCCCAACATTATTGATGGTGCATTGGTTATACTGTGAAACTACCATTTACCAAAACTTTTCTTGATTCAAAAAAGCAAGAAAAGATCCCACTGACTGAACAACAAAGTTGATTGTCAACATTCAAAATCACCCAAAATACACGTAGTATCAGCAGTAAGAAAATGAACGCCTGCAGTCACAGTAGCTGACAGAGCTCACAAACCTGTGAAGTGAAGAAATTGGTCTCTCCTTTCCTTTCAACTGTGATTTTCCTGTAATCTTCCTGTTTTATATAAACTGTCACTTGTTAGAGTCAAATTAACTTTAAATTTGACAATTTCAACAACAAGTTTATGGGGTTCATGTTATCATGTTCATTAGCACAGTTAGTTCTAAATAGCCAACTGTGCTATGAAATCACACATTTTGTTGCAGTCATCTGTAACTGCAAGACCCTGTCCCCCCAAAAAGAGTTATTTATTTATAAAATTCTTTTGTTATAAATTCAAATGATTTTTTTCCAAGAAATACTAATCCTGTTAAATTTGCAAACACAACTCACTTATTTTTTTCTCTACCCATACTAAAAATCATAGACCCACAAATGCCTAATATAGATAAATACATGTAGAATACCCTTATACCCTTATACCCCTTATACCTGTTATACCCTTAAATACCCTTATACCCCCTATACCCTTATACCCCCTATACCCTTGTACCCCCTATACCCTTATACCCCCTATACCC